ACCCTCATTGTTATACAAAATCACATATAAGAGGTTGTGAGGGGAATGGGGAAAAAAAAACAAGGAGAGAAATGAATTACAGTAGATGGGGTAGAGAGAGAAGATGGGAGGGGAGGGGAGGGGGGATAGTAGAGGATAGGAAAGGTTCCAGAATACAACAGTTACTAATATGGCATTATGTAAAAATGTGGATGTGTAACCGATGTGATTCTGAAATCTGTATTTGGGGGAAAAATTGGAGTTCATAACCCACTTGAATCTAATGTATGAAATATGATATGTCAAGAGCTTTGTAATGTTTTGAACAACCAATAAAAAAAAGACAAGAAAAAAAAAGAAATAAGAGATGGTGATAGAACTATATGATATACTCAGTTCAGTAACATGAATTTAGAATGTCATTGGATAATTTTTCTCCTAAAATGGAAGACATTTTTGAGCACAAAAGTTAGAGACTGATACAAACATGTAGATTAAGTGGTAAAAAAAGATACTCCTGCTCTTCAATATCAGCATTATATATTAGTCTACTTAGGCAGAGGTTGGGTGGCTTAAAGAATAGATATTTTCTCCCCAGCAGCTGGGTCAGCTGAGGCAGGAGGATCACGAGTTGAAAGCCAGCCTCAGCAACTTAGTGAGACCTTGTCTATAAATAAAATCTAAAAAGAGCTGGAGATATGGCTTAGTGGTTAAGCACTCTTGTGTTCAATCTTATTTTCTCATAGTTCTGAAGCCTGAAAATCTAGAATTCAGATATCAACAAGAATAGATTTTTTTCAGTGGCCTTTCTCCTTGGCTTGCAAATGGTAGACTTCTCCATGTGTTTTCACATGGTCTTTTCTCTGGTGTCTCTTGTTCTGTAAGGTTACCAGTCCTATCAGATTAGGGCTCTTCCCTTAGGACCTCATTTAAGTTTAAAGTCCCTCTCCAAATATAGTTGCATTGTAGGTTATGGCTTCAACATCTGAATTCGAAGAATAGGGGCAAACACATTAATTATACTCAAAAAAAAGGAGACCAAAAGATTAGCGTAATATTTTAGATGCAATTAACTAATTGCTATGGCTTGTGTGTTGAAAGTATGGTCTCCAGTGCAGCAAAGTTCAGAGGTGGAAGTTTTAGGCAGGGCTCTGACTTCATGACAGCTGATGGACTTCTGGGAGATGGGACCTGGTTGGAGGCAGTAGGTCACGGGGGTATACCTGGAAAAGGGTTTACCTTCTTCACAACACTTTCTCTTCTTGGCTGCCACCAGCTGAGCAGCTTTTCTCTACCATACTTTTCTGCCATGATGTTGTGCATCACTCCAGGCCCAAAGAAATGAAGCCAGTCAACCATGGACTAACACCTCTGTAACCATGACCCCAAAATAAATTTTTTTTGCCTATAAATTGTTTTTTTCCAGGTTATTTGTCACAGTGACAAAAAGCTGACACACTAAATGAAAACAGAATCATATGCTTATGAGAATAAAAGGATGTAAAAGAAAATTTGAAAGAAATAAATTACATATATGTAAAAGTTTTCACTCTGTCACATTTTAGAAATATTTTTAGGTGTGAAGGTTTGTGAATGTTAAATGGCATTGATGCTTCCCTAGAGAAATTGTATAACACTCTTCCTTCCTGTTGCTTCCATTTTTTTTTTTACATGTTCATGCTGTTTCTTTGTCCAAAATGCACTTCTTCCCCATCTTTTCATGTTCAAGTCCTACTCATCTTTCAAGGTCAACTCAAAAGCTATGTAGCCCACATAGCCTTTCTTGATCTCTTTTCTCTCTGAAAATCTTTAGAAATTTAGTCATATTTCATTTATAGTATTTTCACTGAATGGTGATATGCTATTATCATAATTCTACAATTCCTTAGCTATATCAACCAACCAAATTTTATGTTCCTTCAAAGGGATGGCCAGGTTTTTTTTTATTTATTCTTTTTTTTCCTACATTAAAT